ATGCCATGAAAAAAAAACCACTGTGATCAACTGCAGTCTATCAAAATGCAAAGCTAGTTCAGTATTCATAAATTTATTAATTATCATAGCAACAAAATAAAAAAGAAAGCTACCTGACCATGTCAGCTGATACAGAAAAAGCTCAAAAAAATTCAGCATCTATTCATGATAAAAATCTCTTAGTAAATCAAAATCAGAAGATAACACAACATGATAAATGACATCTAATAAAAGCATCACAGTTAACATCATATTTACTAGTTAAAGACAATGTTTTTCCCCAAAGAGTGGGAGCAATGTAAGAATTTCCACTGTTACAGCTGCTGTACAGCATCACACAGGGTCCCTGGCCAGTTAAGGTATTTTTACAGAAACTAAAAGGCATATAGGTCAGAAGGGAAAAACCAGTGTTTCTATTTTCAGATTACATGCTCACCTATGTAGAAAGTCCCAAGGAATCTACAAAGTAGTTGTCAGAATTAGTAAATGAGCTTAGCAAGTCATTAGGTAAATGGAAACTTACAAAAATAATTTTATATACTAGCAATGAATAATTTGAAACAAGTTGAAAACAAACATCCATAGCAACTCCAAAAACAAAAATACTTAGATATAAACCTAACAAAATGTATGTAGGCCCTGTTTGCTGAAAACTACAAAATGTTGATGGAAAAAAAATTAAAATGTTGATGAAAGGAATAAAAGAAATCTAAAACAGAGAGCAATAATATACTTAGGGGCTAGAAAACAACAGTAATATGCTAATTTCTTCCAAATTTATCTATAGATTTATTTATTTTTTTAAACTATTTAAAAAAATTTTTTTTTAAGATTTTATTTATTCATACAGACAAGAACTGGGATACAGGTCAGATGTGCAGGAGGGTGAGAGGATTCACCAGAGACAGAGTGGGGAGCAGAACAGGCAGACTGAGTGAAATACACTGCTGAGGGGAGCAGTGGGCGTGTCAGGGGAGGTCTGCCACGCCATATGGGAGTCTCGCCGCTAGCTGGCCGGGATGGAACCGGCGCTGCAGAGGCTGCAGACAGCTTCACAGCGCTGCGCTCAACCGCCTGAGCCACCAGGGAGGTCCTATCTATAGATTTAATGCAACCAAAATCCCAGCAGGATTTTTCATAGATATTAACAAGCTGATTCTAAAATGTGTGTAGAAAGGCAGAGGAACTAGAACAGCCAAAACGATTTGATAAAGAATAAAGTCGGAAAACTCACAGTAACTGATTTTAATGCTTACTATAAAACAATGTAACTGTCAATAAGATAGTCAAAAGGCTAAAAACACAGAACAGTGGAACAGAATGGAGAGTCAGAGATAGTCTGACACAAATAGGGCCAACTGATTTCTTTAAAGGGACAAAGGCAATTCAAAGGAGGGTACTTTGGACATTGGTTTACTTGGAACATTTGGGTATCCATACGTCAAAAGAGATAAACATTAACCAGTGTTTCTATTTTCACGTCTTACGAAAAAATTCAAACTAATTCATAGATCTAAGTATGAAATGTTAAGCTATTAAAATATTTAGAAGAAAACATGGAAAACCTCTGTGGCCTAGGACTGGGTACAGATTCTTTGAAACCCATAAAAATGAGAAAATATTCAAACTTCTTCAGATTTAAAACTTTTCTCTGAGAAAGACACTGGTAAGGAGAATGAAAGATTAGCTACAAACCTGAGAAAATATTCACAAATATCTGATAAAGAACTTGTTTCCTGAATAAAGGACTCTTAACAGTGAACCATAAGAAAGTAAACAACCCAGTTTAAAAATGGGCAAAAGATGTGGTCACTTATCAAAGACAACATAAGGTGGTAGAGAAGCAGGTGAAAAGTTGCTCAGTATCACTAACTACTAGAGAAATGCAAATTAAAAGTATATGAAATACCACTACAAACCCATAAAAATGGCCAAAATCAAAACAACAGAAAAAGTGACAATGACAAATACTGGTAAGGATTCAAGACTGGGACTCTCATATAGTTTGTGAGAATGTTCAAATCATCGGAAAAAGTTTGAAGTTACTCAAAAAGTTATATAGAATTTTATCTTCTCCTTTATCGTAGAAAACAAAAATTTAATAAAAATTTTCTTAATTTTTATTTCTGGGTAGAAGAACTGGGGTGTAGGCCAGAGGTGGGGGCATGAGAGGATTCCAGAGACAGTGGGGAGCAGAACAGGCAGATCTACTGATACACACTGCTGAGGGGAGCAGCGGGCGAGATAGGAGAGGTCTGCTGCGCCATGTGGATTAGATCAGGGGACTGAACTCAGGCTGTGGAGGTGATAGTGCTGAGACTTAACCCCTAGGCCACCAGGGAGCCTGAGAAATAAAAATTTATGCTTAAACACAAGCTTACACATGTTTATAGAAGCTTTAGTCATAATCACTCTAAACTGGAAACTGGAATTTCTGCAAATAGGTGAATGGATAAGCAAACTGTGGTGCATCTGTACAATGGAAGGCTATTCAGCAATAAAAAGGAATAAACTAGTGAGACAAATTACTGATATGGAACTACATGAATAAATGTCAAAGGCATTATGCTGAGTAAAAGCAGCTGGTCTCAACAGGTTAGTGTATGACTCCATGTAGGTGACCTTCCTTAGGAGAAACAACCATAAGGATGGATAACAGATCAAAGGTTGTCAGGGATTGGTGGGGAAGGGAGTCTGATACAAGGGAGATTTTCTGGCTATCCTGAGTGTGGCCATGGTTACACTAATCTATCCATATGTTAAGGCCCACAGACATGTTTATCACTATTACCACCAAAAGCCATTTTTATCTATCACATGGAAATTTAAAAAATATAGCTCCTTGGATGTTTTAATTCCTAGATATTCCATGTTGGTCAATAAAGCAGAAGCCTGAGTGATTGCTCATTATGTAGTTTGTTCTTCTATTGCAGAAAATACCAAAGTGCCACCTCCTGGCCACCACAGGTGCTGTCAGTTGGTCTGGCAATCAGCTTTGACAGGATGTCCAAGGGAGTAATGGGTGGTCTGGGGTGGGGATAGAAATACCCAAGATACTGAAGGTGTCATCCTGGCTCTAGGGGGATTCATAATCTAGTTGGATCAGTGGAAGAGACAAATAGAAACAACTATCAATAAATAACACTTAACCAGTTTGTACCTTGGAAGCTATTTAGTTCCCTGACCATATTTTACAGATAGGGAAATTGAGGCTCAATTTGCATTTTTTGCTGGAAAATAGGCCTGCAGACTGAACCAAACCCATGTTCTTACAATCATATTATGTAATACTAACATGAGCTATATTATATTCTTAAACAGTGAGTGAATGTATTTTCATTGGAGGTGAGATCTTAGCATGAGTTTAAAGAATGCCAGACTAAGTACTTATAGAGGGGAAAATATACCAGGAATTGGAAATAATTTCACAAAGTTATGCAGATCATGAGGCCACTGATAAGAGAATCTATCAATCCTTTTGTCATTTAGATGTAGCTCATCCAGATAATTTTTATATGATTAAATTAAAACTATCATTTCCATTTTTAAAAACATTTTATGCCTATGATCCTTCACTCTCATTTGATTATTCTATATGCAAAATTCAAAATTGAATTTATGTAGCACTTCACAGGAGAGCTTGATTGAAGCCTAATACGAGAACTGCAGTAGTAGTAACTCTGCCAGCACTCCCCAGGAGCATCAGCTACAGGGGCTCAAGGAAGAGAGAACCAGCAGTGAATGCTGAAACCATCCAGACAGAGCTCCCTTCAGGATGCTGCCTGGGCCAGAAGAAAGGAGCCTATGACTCTTTTCTCAGCTACCCTTCCACCTCGAGGTGTGGGCTGCTCTTCCTGCCTCTCCCTGTTTTGCCATGTCTGGGTGGCTTTATGCTGTTGTGCACAGGAATTCCTATGTATGCTCAGACCTATTGCATGTAAGAGTCCCCAAAGAAAAGAGGGAAAGTAACATCTAATTTTCTCTGCTATGCAAATAATGACAGATTAAGTCCCTGTTGTCACCAAGGCAGGGCAAATGGCATCTACAAAATCTCCTTTTGTCCTGGGAGACAGCATGGTAATTGGGGAAAAGAAGTGCAGTAAGGGGTGACTTGGGTGTTAATCCTGATTCAGCCATGTGATCTTGAGTGAACATTTAATTTCTTGAAGGCATCTTTTTTCCTTTTCTGCAAATAAGGATCACACACTAGCTGCCTTGTCCACCTTGTAAGAGTGTGGTAAAGATCAAACAGTAGCAATTCAGGGCTATAAAAAAATAAGCAAAACCCCTCTGCCTTCAAGGTTTTTTTTTTAAAGATTTATTTATTTATTTTTATACAAGAACCGGGGTATAGGCCAGATGCGCGGGAGGGTGAGAGGATTCACCAGAGACAGAGCGGGGAACAGAATAGGCAGACTGACGAAATACACTGCTGAGGGGAGCAGCGGGCAAGAACAGGAGAGGTCTGCTTCGCCATTGGGATTCTCGCTGGCCGGCCGGCCAGGATAAAACCCACGCTGCAGAGGCTGCGGACAGCTTCACAGTGAGCCGCTCAACCACCTGCGCCACCAGGGAGGCCCTGCCTTCAAGGTTTTTATGCCTCAGCTATCTTTGGCCAGCACAACACAGATACTTTCCTCTGAACAGATGTGAAGTCTAATCCGGGCTCTACCCTGCTAGTTGTCATCTTAGATCTGTGATCTAAGATCTTAGATGGCAATGCTATGATAAATCTAAACCACCCTCTTCTTTGGTCTTGAGGTTTGAATAGGGCAGATACAGTCGGCTGCAACCCATCTCAATATTTCCAGACTCTTTCAGGAAGGAGAACACCAGTAAACACAATTAGACCAGCAGAAGGTTTTGCCCAGTTCAGGAAGAGGAGGCGAGCCTGAGGAATCAAAGCAGAGAACTCCTTTATAATAGAGTAAATGTAAGAAGGTAAAGAAAACCAGAAAAGAAAGTTGTCTCATTTATGAAATAAGTATAAAACAGACCAGTGTTAGAAAAAAAATTCTGAAAGACAATCATGATACATTAAAAAACACAATGGAAGCAGTAAGTAACAGAATAGATGCTTCAATTAGCAATAATCACGCCTTGGATAAATCTCATTGGCTATGATACTGCCAATGTGTAAAGCTAGAATAGATGCTTCAGAAAAATCAAAGAATAATAGAAGAAAATCAATTATCTCATGGATTCTTTAGATAGGAGTCACAGGTTAGTTATACTTACTTAATAGAGAATCACATGGAAAGGCAGCCCAGAGAAAGAATTGAATTTCTCAAATAAAAGGAAAAAACCGTCACGTATATAAGCACAAAAATAAGTTATCCACATTCAGCTTGATAAAACTTTTTCTTCTGTTTCAAATTATAGGAAGGTATGGGCAGAAGAGAGGAAGGAAATTTCTATCAATTTTGTCATCATTCTATAAATCCATTTTATTCTTGATATTGGTTAAGAGAGTTTAAATGTTTAAGAGTAATTATTATTAAAATAAAAAAATGTATAATTTTCTAATCATGTGTAAGAAGAGGAACTTGACCAACATAGCTGCTAGAATTGACAGCAAAAACAAGAAGGAAATAACATGGATGCATAAAAGTTAGAAAATATTGAAATAACATGTTTAAATTTAAGAAGAAAAAGTCTTGTTTCTATAGGAAATGTGAAAGGGCTGCAGCTCCTTTATACTACCCTCTGTTTATAAAAGATCCATCTAAAACAAAAGACATAGAAAAAGAATAAATGAGGATAGACAAAGATATAGCATAAAGAAAGTAGAGATGGGATTAGCAGTAATAGATAAGGCGAAATTCAAGGAAAAGACACAAAATGCTTTCTATATGACAAAGTATAGCTTCAAAAATAAAAACTATTAGTCATCAAGCATTCAATAACATGGTACCGAAACATGTAAAGCAAAAATTGTTTTGATACAGGAAGAAACAGACCGATGTGTTTAGTGTTTTTGGTGGGTGACCCAGTCTTTGGCAGTGGAAACTGATAAAAAGCAAATGAGGGTGGAGAAAGGCTGAATAATCAACGGATCTGGCTAGCAGTTACATGGAACTTGACACACATTATGGTCCCAGAGACACTTATAAATATGTATTATGGATCAGGCCACAAAATAACACTGGTCTTCCTAACTATTTTTATAGTTTTATAGTTCCTACTTTTTGTAGGAAATGTATTGGATATCTTCTACAATCATAGTGCAATAAAGTAAGAAAATTATAAAAAGGTTAACAACTAAACAACTTTATTGAGAATTTTTTCTTTAAGATTTATTTTTTATTTATACAATAGCTGGGGTACAAGGCAGAGGTGTGGGAGGGTGAGAGGATTCACCACAGACAGAGCGGGGAGCAGAACAGGTAGATGGACCGAAAGCACTGCTGAGGGGAGCAGTGGGAGCGACAGGAGAGGTCTGCTGCGCCACGTGGGTGTCTCCCTGGTGGGCCGGGAATTGAACCCATGCTGCAGAGGGTGTGGACAGCCTCACAGCACTGCGCTCAACCGGCTGCACCACTGGGGAGGCCCGTTATTGAGAATTTTTAAGGTTAACACTTTTTTTTTTAATTTTTAAAAAAAGATTTCTTTACTTATACAAGTACTGGGTACAGTCAGAAGTGTGGGAGGGTGAGAGAATTCACCAGAGCGGGGAAGAGAACAGGCAGACTGACGAAATACACTGCTGAGGGGAGCGGCGGGCGCAGCAGGAGAGGTCTGTGCGCCATGTGGGACCCTTGCAGCTGGCCGGGGATCAAATCTGCGCTGCAGAAGCTGCGGGCAGCTTCGCAGCCCAGTGTTCAACTGCTGCGCCACCAGGGGAGTCCCAAGGAGAACACATTTTAAAGCAACTGCTAGATTAGAGATTATAGTTACAATGATAGGTGGAAAAGAAGTTAATGAGAAAGAATAGTACACATCAAAATTCATTATTGCAGCAAATAATATCCTAAAGAATGTATATTCTTAAATGCTTATTTATCAAGTCAGAATGAAAGAAGATACTCAAAAAGTAGAAAAAGAACAAAAGAAACCTACGTAAGATAGGAGGTAGTTAAGAGAAAAACAGTATACATGATAAATGCAAGAGCTGGTTTTTTGAAAAGACCAATAAAAGAACGAAACACTTGGCAAAGTCTATTCCGGATAAAACTAGCCAAAATCACAAATATCCAATAGAAAGGGATTTTTAAAAAGGTATGTTGATTTTAGAAATTGTCAGTAACATTTGAAATCTCATATTAATAAATTAGAAGTCTTTAAAATGCATGATTTTATGGGAAACAAATTATTAAAATTGACTAAAAGAAAAAAATAATTAAAATTTATAGCTGGGGAATTCTGTGGAATTTTTTATGTTGTTAGAGAAATACTGTCTTAAATATTACTGAGCACAAATGATGCTATAGGCAAACTTTCAAGGCCCAAGTAATTCCCATGCTACTTAAAATGCTCCAGAACAGAGAAAGATAGAAACCACTCCTATTAATTTAATCCCGGTAGCAAAACTGGATGAATCTCTCTTGTGTGTGTGTGCATTCTCTCTATCTCTCTCTCACACACACACACGCACACACACACAACCTCTCAAGTACAGATGCAAATTAACAAATCAAATTCAGCAGGAAATACAATATGACCAAGAAGATAATTCCACAAGTGTAAGGATGGTCAATCATAAGCAACATTGATATTGCTCAGCTTGATAATAGATTACATGAAATGTCCTCTATGTGCTTGTCCAATTACAATTATCACCTTTCAGTCAGGTGCCATGGCCTTTACTTTTTTAAGGCAGGTATGATTTTTTTATTTGTATCATTTTTATTTTACAATGCTCTATGGCATGAAAAACAGTATTTCTGTCAATAGTAAAGTGGTATGCAGATAAACATGCAAATTTACCGTTATTTCATCAGTATAATACTGGTTTTAATTTGTTTTCTAAACATCCAGTAATCTTAGGGAGCAAAGTATGTAGATAAAGAGAACAGACTTCTTTTACTGTATAAAAGTATTATATAGGGGCCTCCCTGTTTGCAGGCGGTTGAGCGCAACGCTGTGAAGCTGTCCGCAGCCTCTGCAGCGCTAGTTCGATCCCGACCAGTGGACGAGGGTCCCACATGGTGCGCAGACCTCTCCTGTCGCGCCCGCTGCTCCCCTCAGCAGTGTGTTTCTTCAGTCTGTCTGTTCTGTTCCCTGCTTTATCTCTGGTGAATCCTCTCACCCTCCTGCGCATCTGGCCTGTACCCCGGCTCTTGTATAAATAAAAAATAAATCTAAAAAAAAAGGATTATATAAAGGTCTAAAAACAAGTATCATGACTGAGCAGAGAGACTTCTAGTGGGAACTTTTATTGAAATTTTTAAATAATAGGGACTAAGTAGGCTATATCTACTACACCTACTTTATTTGCAAATAAAAGGAAAAAAGAGAATTACTGGAAATTAAAACATTACCCTATTCCACCAAGATATTCCATATAAGTTGACCCATAAGCAGGATTTTAAAAACTGAGACATAATTTACATACTATAAAATTTACATATTTTCAAGTATATAGGTAGATGATTTCTGACATTCAAGTCAAGAAATAGACATTTTGCTCATGCCAGTTCCCTCTGGTTGTTCTTTTTAAGTCTTAGTTCTATATTTGTACATCAAATTGGATTACTTAGCTTTTGAGAGCTAAAAAGATTACCTCATTATTTAGACCTAATAGAAAGCCAGGGACCCATGGTTTTCAGAACTCACAAAATACTGAATTCCCCCCCCCCCATCCTTTCTCTGTTTCCATAGTTGTGCCATTAAGGTTACAAGGAATTTACAAAGAAAATAGTCTTTGAGGATGTCATCCCAGATCAGTGCTATCATGGTGACCTTAAAGGGACTATTTAAGTTTTAATAACAATAGAATTTAGCTTTAATCAAAATTGCGTGAAATAGGTTGTTCAGAATTTAAACTATTTTAGGCTGCTTATATATTCTCAGTAACAGTCTGGTGATAGAATTTTACTTTATTTGATTTTTCTAAGTGGACAGGCAATTCTTGGTTTTTAATTAATGAGAAAAATGTTGAGTTATAAGCTCTCAGTTATTGGATTAGATGCAGTCTTACTTTGTGGAACAATAACTGATACCAAGCCTATACTTGCAAAACTGCATCTTGAGATGCAACAGCACAGAAGGCCAGGGGATGGGGTTCTCACCCCCTCAAACTCCACTGTAACTGCATGCCATTTTGATTGCTGCTGTTTTCCTTCACATGCCTCTTTATTTTTGTCTGCCTCTGTAGGTCTCTGCTTTTCTGTATGTAGGCACACACTGTTGGTAGAAATCATGGGGCTGAGAACACTAACTATAAATTCCAGAATCCCAAACAAAATTTTAAGACTCTGCAAATTTTTGAAGAATTTATGAATCACAAGAAAAGGCTCTGACATTTTATGACAAAAACTCCAATAATGTTATAAGGTCATGAGCTCCTGTTACTTTAAAAAGAGTTACTCTTTTGGGCCCCCCTGGTGGCACAAGGAGTTGGGTACAGCACTCTGCAGCAAGAGTTCAATAATGGCTGGCCAGGGAGGTGACCCACATGGCGCAGCAGATCTCTCCTGTCTCCCTGGTGCTCCCCTCAGCAGTAGATTTCAGTGAATCTGCCTGTTCTGCTCCCCACTCTGTCTCTGGTGAATCCTCTCACCCCCCACACCTCTGGCCTGTACCTCAGTTCTTGTATGCATAAATAAATCTTAAAAAAAAAAAAGCAGAGAGACAATCAGCTTCCTTGAAATCATCAAGGGAGGAGAGTGTGTGCCTTCTTCATAGTGGTTCATGCCTAATTTTTACTTTGGCCTCTTCTTTCCAGAATTAATCCTGAGAAGCAGCTACTCATGGTCTTGAGTGGGAGGGTCTCTTCCCTTCTGTGGTCAGCACTCTCCACACACACCTCTCAGGTTCTGCATCAATTTGCATGGTTTCTTTCTAACCCAAGATGTGCCCAAGAGCCTCCGTGAAATTATAGTAGTCACTTAGTTTCTTCAGGTATCTGCTTGAATTTGGATATACACACTTGGTCTGTTGGAGTTATCATTCTCTACTTCAGTTCTTTGGTTTGACTGCAGAG